CATTGGAGAGAAAATATGAGTGGGGCAGGAGACCTGGTAAAGCAAGGAGAGAGTCAGCATAGTGCAATAAAGGTGTATGTGTGTAGAGATAGTTTGGGATTAGAAGAGGGTGAATCTCCTTTCCCCAGCAGCCATCTGGAGGTCACATTTTTGAATATACATTAATGTTGGATTTTAAACCTGAAATGATCACACAGAAATTGGGGGTGGGCAGCTTTTCCCTAAAATCTCACAAATCAGAAGGCAAATGAAAAACAGTATTAAAACAATCACGATTTATTGGGATCTGAATCATGATTTTTGAACATTTGGAGTTGGACGTACTAGACACTATTGACTACACATGTTGACAGTGTAGCACTAAACTGGGATGATTCTGGGATCTCACATACAGTAATTTATCTATGTATTCATAAAGGCATTTACTTTGATATTAAGGCATTGGTGTCATCTCATAAGCTTTTGTTTCCCTACAGCCCTCTTGTAGAATATTGCAAGGCACAATCCCATCTCCTCTAGTTTTCAACATACATGGGAGACTTCTACAGGAGAATGCGAGATGCCTTGGACTCCTATGCCAATAGGCAGATGGCACGCATCTCTTTTTCCTGCAGATGTCGTTAGCGTCATCACATTGGATAATGTAGTGCCTAGAAGAGATAAACAAAGTGATGAATATCAGCCACTTCACCCACATCAGAACAAAGAGCTGATGATAGCAAGAGGAAAACACTTAAGAGAAGCTCGACAGGACACTAATCTCATCTTCTGTTGAGGGCAGTACACCATCTCAGGGTCATATTGGATTTACCACTGTTCCGACTTACACACTTATGGTACGTCTACACTACAGCAGCATAACTATGGTTCTTTCGACCTAGCCACATCTACACTGGGGTAAGGTCAACCGTAAGAACCACCATAGTGGGTCAGATCAATGGTCCATATAGTTCAGTAGCCTGTCTCTGACAGCGGCCAGTGCCAGACACTTTAGAGGGAAGGAACAGACCAGGGCAATTTCAAGAGAGCCATCATGTCTTCCAGTCCCACCGTCTGGCATTTAGGGGTTTAGGGACACCCGGAACATGGGACTATATCCCTGACCATCTTGGCTAATAGCCATTGATAGACCTATCCATGAATTTATCTAATTCTTTTTTGACCCCCATTTTACTTTTGGCCTTCACAGCACTCCCTGACAACAAGTTCCACAGGTTGACTATATTATGTGAAGAAATACATCCATTTGTTTGTTTTAAACCTAGCTAGACAATTCACTCGTCCCTTAGTTGAATCATTGTGATCTACGCTTTTGTCTTCTCCAAGTTAGTTTGCTGCAATTTAGCATACCTAAGTGGGATTGTGAAGGCATATAGAAACTCCACCTTGTACAACATGCTTCAGCCCTTATTTAGGGGAAAAACCCACCCACAAGAGAGTGCATCATACCATTTTCTGCTCACTCCACTGGCTGCCTATTTGATTCCATAAGCATTTCAAGGTTTCTGTGCAAAGGGAAAATACTAGGCGTGTGCCATTTTATTGCTTCTTTGTGATGTACAAAGAGGTTGAATGGGTTTTGGGGCGTTTTTTTAAACAGAAAAAAATAGTTTGTTTCTTCTGGATGTTTTGTCTACCCTGGAAAACTCCAGACAACTGCAGAACTCATAGGTTTATTATATTAGCGCTACCAAGGAAATTATAGATCATTAATTGCAAGAACTAATAATTATTCCATCTGTTTCAAACACTTTTGTTGTAACATTTAACTTAAAAATTTGGGGAAAAGCACTGTAACAAATTCAACATTGACTATGCCAACTGCTAAGGCTGAGAAAGCTCCTAATGAATGTTTGAGTCATTCAAGGAATCCTCCAACAAAAAAAGGGAAAGGGGGAGGAATTTTTTTTCCCATTTGAAAACACCTTTCAGGACATCTTTTATATATCATAAAGCAGCAAGAAATCACAAAACCCTTGATATATTTCTGCTTTGCAGATCATCTTTAAGGGCCTAAATGGTCCAGGGATTAGCTATATTGGTAAACACCCCTCTGTTCTCAACACCAAGATAGCTGTGTTCAAAGCAAAGTTGCAGCTGGTGGAACCCAAGGTGAAGCTTTTGGGAGCAAGCTCACCAAAAGGGATCACAATTAGTTGACCCTTGAGTGTCTTCAGAACTTTTATCCTCAGTAAGGCAGGTTGAAAAGCAAGTGGGCATAATTTACCATAGAAAAAGCAAAACTGGAAAACAAAACAAAAAATAGCAGCTGATGGAAAAGGCAGAAGTAGAAAACTAGGGTCCCGGGATCCTTTATGTAAAACTGGGAAGCATACCAAAAAAGTTACAAAGATGATTTGAGGTCTGGACTGGAAAACATGCTTTACAATGAGAGACTTAAGGAGCTCAATCTTTCTCAGATAGAAGGATAAGAGGCAACTTGGTCACAGTTTAAGTATCTAACCAACGAGAAGATATTCAATACAACAGGGCCCTTTAATTTAATGGAAAAAGACATAATGAAATCCAATGATTGAAACTTGAAGCTAGAAAATTTCAGCTGAAAAGAATTATAGTTTCTTTTTTCCTACTACAATGTTAAATAAGGAAGAAAAGCCTCCAAACAACAGGATCAAACAGTTCATGTGCACAGTCCTTGGGAACAGCAAGGTGGGTCTTAACAAAATTAAGAAACTGGATATTATTTTCATTTGGATACTCAAGCCATTACAACTGGATAGGGACTCTCAAAGATGGTATGGCCAGTTGGAGTTTCCATGGATACAAAATCAGGCCCCATTGTTTATCAGATATTTAGTGGAAGAAAAGTTAGGAACTCTTTTGAAAGAGCCCTTCCAGAATCAGTGACAGAAAGTGTGGCCATACATGCCTATATTAATATTTTGTTCAGCCAGCTTATCAGAGATCTGTATTTCATGTCTGTTCAAATGCTCATCTTCCTTGAAGACCTGGTCCGTGGGAAGTTTTAAGTTTAAAAACTAACCCATCTGAGCTAACCATAATAAAGCATTTCTTTTTGTAAAAAATAAGGTAGATGTATTCTCTACACCATTTTACAAATAGTTCAACAATTAGATATTTTTCCATCATTGGGGATTTTATTCATATTTTTAATTTCCACAAATCTTTTGTAGGTCATCTCTAAGTTTCTCTGAAGCATTAAACTCTGCAAGACAACAAAACACAGAGAACGTGGGTCAGTCTAGTGTAGTCTGCTTACTTGATTATGCCAAAGGCCCCAGATAGATGAATCTTTGCCCTTAATACTACTAATTTCTATGGGAGCCCAGTTTTCTTCAGGAATATCCTGCAACTTTCATTTTCTTGCAGAGGGCTTTCACTGCTAATGAGATCTTGACATGGCATGTAGCTAGCTCTCCTCTCAACTGTATAAATGGTTTATTCCAGCGTATTTCATAATTTATGCAAATAGCCTGACACCAACAGAGATGTTAGAGCTTTTAAGGGGTACAAGATCCATTGTGCAAGAGCTTTGGTCAAAGCCACAGATAAAAGCTGAACCCAGTGCTTCTCTAGGCTCAGGTTTTATCTGTGGCTTTGACTAAGACACAGGATGTCATGCTGGATCCCTTTTTTTTTTTTCTTTAATTTTTGTTGGTTTTTTTTTTTTTGCATAAATTATGAAATACGCTGTTTTTTTTTTTTTTTTTTTTTTTTTGCCTTAACAGGCAGGGCACTTCTTTAGCTCAACATTTTATCATAGCTAGACTAAAGTATCCATTTCCATTACAGCAAGGGAATTCTTATACTTGCACAGACATAAAAAATCATTACTGGTATGCACCTTTTGCCCTCATGCTGCTCCACATCCTCTTCAGAATGCAGCAGCTACACTTTTACAGAGGTTTGACTTTCTGTACTCTGCTACCATTTTACTAAGGGTCCCATTCTTAATGGGATTCAGACAGATAGTGCACTTAAATGCATTAGCATTAATGAAAAGTGCCATCTTGACAGCCCTGGAACAAAGTCTTACGTTTAATCCCTTGAATTCAGAGAATATTGGCAATGCAAGCTTTTCTAGTGTCCCCAAGGTCAGTTTTGAGGTACCATCTCTCAGAGAGGGGAAGTAAATCTTTAGGCCCATTTCTTGGTTTCTCTATTGAGATTATTAGTAATGCTAATAATGAAGTAAAAACTCAGCTACCCACCATCTTTCAGAGGGTGCTACTATTTGTTCCCTTTTCAAACAGAAAAACAAAAATTGCCATGCTGAATCAGATCAGTGGTCCAGCTAAGCCAGTAGGCCATCTCTGACAGAGATCAGTACCCAGACTCTTCAAAGGTACAAGACACCCTACACCAAACAATTATGGTATAAGCCACCACCCACCTCCATTAGTGGTGGTTTTATGCCCTGAAACACAAGGGTTTATAGACCTTATTGAAAAAAAAAATCTAATGTAATGGTGGATTCTCTTAACCACATAAATGTCTCATCATTTTTTAAATCCTGCAAAGCTCTGGACTTCAATTATATCTTGTGACAGTGAGTTCCACAGGTTGATTTTGCCTTGTGGAAGTAACTATTCACTTTCTTCAAGTATAATCTTGTTCTTGTATTATAAGGAAGGGTAAATAAGAGTGCCCAATTTACATGGTCCACCTATAGAGTTCGAAGACCCTGTATCCCATTGTCACATCTTCACAGTCCCCCTCACATCCTTTAATTGTGGAGTCGGGTACCAGTATAGAAAAAGAGACCATTAGCAGGTCCCTCCTTCCAATGTCACGCCCTCGCCCTCCTCACTTGAAATTCTGTCTTCCACTAAATATCAAGGAAACAAACCACTTGCCATAGTAACATAATCTAGGGAATGACAAGAGTTTGGGAAATTTGCTTGTGAAATAAGGTGCTTAAAAAGTGGGACTGATGCAGCTATTGATTCATATTGATTTCCCAGCCTCAGTATACACACTGGGTCTGGTGCCACCTCCGCCACCAAACTGCAGCCACGTAAGTTGGAGAACTTTATTAAAATATATCCAGGAAATAAACAACATTTCTAACAAGAGCCAGGAGAGAATTGAAGTGAGAAAGACATCTGTACAGGGAACATTGATATAAAGGTTTGTTTACATGCTTTATTTTAAAATGTTTCACAGTTTAGTCATTCTCTACAAAAATATATTTCTGAAACTTTGAATCCTCTATAAAAAAGCTGGTCAGCAGCAGTGAACCCAACAAGCAAAATGTACCTTAGGACAGAGCAAGCACCTCCTATAAGCAGATCAGTGTGACCAGGGCACTCCTGCCTCACCCTGGAATAGAAGGTTTTTGTTCTTTGGGATTAAGCTCCATACTCATTTTGAAGGAAGGCAATTTAAGAAAAAAAACATTTTCCTTCCATCCCTCCAGGCTGCATGAAACCTGGGACAGGGGGCTGTGGATCAGTATAACACACAGAAGAGGGTGCTGTGAAAAGAGAACTTGACATCCTGGTGAGGGGAACATGACTGTGCTTTACTACTGGTATCCATTGTTCTATGAAAAGTCTGATTACAAGAGCCCCTTTATTGATAATGGCCAGCCCCAGGCTAAACAATACTAAGCACAGGCACTATCTGGGGTATGACTGGAATAGTTCACCAGCAGCTGGAGAGCTCTTCCTTGGCATTAGGGGAGGATTCAGCTTGATTTTAACTAAAAAAATCTTACATTTGTATCTTCATTATGGCAGCTCTGACCAAACTGGCACTCGCTTTCATTTCCAAATGCAAGTCTATGTGGCACTGGCTCTAATGGAACCAGTATCCTCAAGGCTAATGCTTAGGTCAAGTTTATCAGCATTCAAAACTGCAGCTAGCAGTCCTCACATTTCTAGATATGTATTCCTAGTACACCAATCACCACGGTATCTAGGCACCAAATACAAGAATTAAGAAGCTCAGTATCATTTCAAGTGAAATCATCTTCTCCACTCCTCCCTCAGGGAGATTTTACTGGATAGGTCTTCAGAGATACTTGTGAATAAAAAAAAATGCTGGCTCTTAAGTGTCTTGCACTGCACTCTAGAAGAGACAAGATGAAAGGATTCTGTGTTTGGAAATCCCACACCTGGGAACGCCTTAACCAAAAGTTATCTGCCTTCCTGGATCTTTACATACAAGGCAGTAATTTCAGCAGCAAGTTGAGAAAATAATAGTTTCTGATAGAAAAACCAGTCTAATATAGTAATTACATTTACAATCAGCTCTCTGAATCCTTAAAGGAACCTTTCTTCCCACTTGTCCTGAATGCCTATTAGGAGAGCAGCTTTCTAAATTATAGCCTTGTTGAGTTTTCAGATATAAGAGTAGATTAGCAAATCATTGAAGGGAAAGAGAAAATGCTACTTTCACCTCCAATTAAATTTTTTCTGAGCTGCAGGCTTTGCTCAAAGGCTTCTCGTCCTCATGACACATGCCTACCACTAATCCCACCTACTGTGCCCCAGTTCGACCTTCTAAAATCCTGAGCAACCAAGAAGGTATGTGAATTTTAAAACTGAATCAGTCTCATCCGTAACACAACCCGAGTGCCTGCATCAACCTTAGCAAACAGCCAAATTCATCTTCAAAACCAAAAACCATACAACTCAGAAAAACTGAATCACATCCATTAGTACTAGATAGTCATCCAGTCAAAGTGAAAGTCCAAAAGGGAAAAGGGGAAGTTGAAGCACTCATTGCAAATACTCCTTCCTCCCTGGCCTCTTTACCCCAAATAAAAAAGTCACTCCAAGGTGTCAGCACTAGTCTACAAAATAAACCAGCACTTGCCAACAGGATTGGAGACTGATTTAAAACTAGAAAACAATGAGAAAGCCTGAAAACTTGAGAAGTTCTACAGCTTCATTCAGTTCCCTAAACTGTAAACAATTATCTAATTTGGTAGTTCCCTCTGCTCCCCACCCAATTTCCAGACTCCCTTCTTCAGAAACAAGGGACAGTCTGTTTCTCAGCGGACAACAAAAAGATCTGCCCCTTCTCCTTCATCAGTTATATGCACAGGCTGTTCAGCTTCCACACACCCAGCAAGACTCCTAGAGGGCACCTACTTTGAAGTACCTGAGCAACAGGAATAAAACATGAATTGTTGTAGTCCAAAAGAGTTGTCAGCTTTTAGACCATCTAGAAATACTGAAGCGTGTAAAACCCAAGAAGGGAGCAGAATTACTTTATGTGGGCCCAGGAGGATATAAATAGGAGTAATGTGATTAAATGAAAAAAAAATGTAGGATGAATATTAGGAAAATCTTCCTGTCGTGGAGTCTAGTAAGCTAAAGAATTATCTCCCCCAAGACAGCGGCAGATGCACCAAGGGGCATTTAACATTGGACTAAGCCCTGAAAAGAACAATCCTCCCTGGCCTTGGGGGATGGGCTAATTGGGACCTACATCTCTTCCTTCTCCAATTTCTAGGATTCTAGTATAACATTTCTCTTGTGGATAAACTGCATTAGCAGCATGTGAGATAAAGGCATGTACAGGACCAGCAGTAGCAACTTCACAATGCTTTAACTTTTGCTGCCTCCCAGTACAAATTTCCTACACTTCTGCATTCCCTCCTTCCCTCCCTCAGCTGGGCACAGATTCCAGGGACTCTCCTAAATCTTCATGACCATCTCAGGAGACAGTACATCTGAGTGGTTTACTTTAATCCTCCCCAAATCTTTTATGAATCAGTTTGTTGGTAGTCTCAGATTCATTCTTGCTCTTGTGCTCATGCCCAGCACTAACATTACAAGAGCAAAACTTCACACTGTCAATTTGCAGCAACCCTGGGTATGCCTGTGCTCAGAGGCACCTGGGTCAGGATAAACAAGGCAGTGCACAGCACTGGGCATGGGCTTTCTTTTTCCTGCAATGCAGTACACCAGATCATATGCCTAACTTCTCTTCATCTTACTAGTCCTGCTTGAACACTCCCCATCACTTGTGCTTCCTGAGACTGCAAGTCACTCGTGAAAATCTGCATCAAGTTTGGTATTGGAGACAATGGGAGGCCTCCCTGTTCAGCCAGCTCCTGTTCTGCTGCATTCAAGCCCATGAGAGTGCCTTCCTGTGAAACATAACAGAGGCAGGGTCATGGGACACTACATGTTAAACTAAATTTCAAAGGGGAGGCAAGGTCACTGCTCCTGCCGCAGACAAGGAAAAAGATTCACCAAGAGATTAAAACTAAATGGGTTATAAAATATCTGTTGAAAGGCAAGAGCTAATGTTTGCCAGTAATGAAATGCATTCTCCTGTCCTGTGTGAACAGGAAACAGTCTCAGTGGGGTGTTAGAAAAGGTCCTAGCAGGGAGCTCTCCCCCTACTTTTTCTGCTGCCAGAGGAGAAGGGAGAGAGAAGATGCTATTGGTCAGCGGGGATTTCTCTGTCTGGGTCCTGTTTGCTCGTCTCTCCTGGGGAAGGGGTACGTGGTGCAGAGTGAGACACAGAGGGCATCCCGTGAGCTACAATCCCCTCCACAACCGCTGGCTCCGGCAGCCCAGGGGCTGCTACTCCCACTACTCCTGGAGGAAACCTGAAACCAACAGAAAACACGTGGAGATTACATGCCTGTCTAAGGAAGAGCACTGCAAAGGGAAAGGACAACAAAGCTGTGCCCTCACCCACATGTTCTGAATTGGCTATCACAGCTCAGAGGAAATGCAAGTCATGATGCTGCACTGAGCAAAGGTCTCCAAACAAAACTGCTCTGAGCTAGGACTACAGTAAATGTTGTCAGGACTGAATGGGCCCAGTTATGTGTTGATCCAAATGGCACCTATTCCCAGACAGCTACCAGCTGGGGATTAAGGGCAGAGATGGCCGCAGGGTCACACTAAACACACCGAAAATTTTGAGACATAGCTTGTCTTTACTAGAGAGAACAGAATGCCTGACACCCCATTCACATACCCTGAATGGCTAGAAATTGTCAATATATACAAGAGGTTGCAATTCTCTAAGGGGAACATGCTGCTGGATACACCTCCCTGGGCTGTGATAGGAAGAGATTAGCAACTTCTAAGCAAAATTTTCCTTTCTTCCCATTATCCCTGACTATTTCTCGGGGGGGGGGGGGGGGGGGGGGGGGGGGGGTTGGAGAGGTAGTGATTCCCCCCTTGAAACTGAGCAGGCATTACCAACATCAACAATCCTCATAGCGTCCATGTTACTGATGGGGAAACAAATACAAAAGTGAAGCAACCTCCCCAAGATCACACAGTGAATCTGTGGCAGAAAAATAGAACCCCAGAGACCTGTTCATAGTCTCTTGTCCAATCCACTGGACCATGATGCCTCTCATTTACAGTCCAATCGTGGCATGAAGGAAAGAGTGCTGTATGCAGACAATAATTCCATGCTGGGGTGCAGAACTTCATCATTCCCAGGAGGCAGATCCCTTTTCATGGACCCACCAGTGTACCACATACCAAGCGGTTTCTCTAGCACTTAGCCTTTCAAAATCCTTGCAAGAGAACTGGTGCCCAGAAGTTTCATTAACTGATCAAGAGAATCCTGAATTCCCAGAGCTGGTACAGACTATCACTCTAATTTCAGACAGGGAAGCTTAGTGCTTATGGGCCAGCTAAAGAAGTGAGGCTGACAGATTTCTGAAGAAAACCTACCACCATTCAACTTGTAAGAAGAGATATGCTGCTAGATAAGAGCAATTCTCAGAAGCCCAAAGAAAGGGCTCTACCCAGGATACTGGGGTCTTTATGTAAAAGATAACCACGTGCGTAAGTGACCTGCACATTAAGCAGGAGCTCAGAGGGCCTGCTTCTCTCACCTGTAAGCCACAGCTCCATTGAGTTCTGGGTGAACAGCTGCAGGATCAATACTTGGCCACTGAGCAGCTAACAGCAAATACTCCTTATTAACACAGTTCCTCAAAGTATCAGGTATGTGACCTGTGGTGACACCAAGAAGGGCAGAGGATAGCAGGAGACAAATAGGAAGTGAAGATGCCCAAATATTTCCACATGAAAGCAGCAAGGAAGGGACCCAACAGCCCCTCCCACCTCAGTACCATAGGACAGAGGTGGGGAGAGATCTAAATCAAGATCCTACACACACACACACACACACACACACACACAGAGTCTCAGAGGAATACTCAATGAATTGATGGTCCCTCCCCATCCCTGGGATCTCAGGGAAGGGCTGGCTCCTTGTGTTGCAATTGCCAGTCCCCACCTTTCACAGGAGACACTGGACACAAACACCCCCAAGAGAAAATGGGTGCACAATGCAGCCATCGGTGAAACCATTCCATGGGGGAGGAATGAGATGTCAGATCCCCAGAGGGAAGGGGAATAGGACATCAGTACTGATCACATCTAACTTGGGACAGAAAGAGTAAAGAATCTCTCTCCAGCATTAGCTATGAGACCCTCATAAGTCAAAGACAATCAGTGACTTGTATTCCAGCTCCAGAAATGAGTCAGTGAGCATCATCCCAGCAGCCCTAGCTTTAACAAAACAGTCAGCAGTTACTGTTCCATAGTCCTGACTCAGGAAACCCATGAACAACTCCCATCCCCACAGCAGCTGCAAAGCACCAGGGCAGACCTGGCCTCCCCAGTTACCTGTGATAGCTCTGCGGATCTCTTTAGCTGCATCTTCCCTGGACTCAATGGAAGCCTGCTCACTGTACCAGGCTGTGTGAGGGGTGCAGATCACATTGGGAGCATCTTTTAGGGGCCCCTGAGCAAAGCTGTGATGGAAAGACAAACATGTGGTTTCTGCTGGAAAGCGAAATTCCCTTTCTGTCCTCCCAGGTGTAACCATGCCCCAACTGAAGCCAGAGAATTATCCAGTGCAGAAGAGCCATAGGATTGCAGCGGGTATGTGGCTTCGGTGTTACCTGAAGGGTTCAGACTCGTGCACATCAAGTGCTGTTCCTCTGATTCTCCCCTCCTTCAAGGCTTGTGCCAAGGCCTTCTCATCTACTAGCCCCCCACGGGCTGTGTTCACCAGAAAGCAGCCATGGCGCATCTGGAGAGGGGGGGAAAAAAACGTGTTTGAGAATTCCTGCCTTCCCGTGGAGTCTGGAGGAGACTTCTCAAAAAGAGCAGGAACCTAGCTCCCCACCTTGGTGTCCCTAGCCTCTGTTAGCCAGAAGCTGGGAATGGGCGACAGGGATGGATCACTTGATGATTACCTGTTCTGTTCATTCCCTCTGGGGCACCTGGCACTGCCCACTGTCGGAAGACAGGATACTGGGCTAGATGGACCATTGGTCTGACCCAGTCTGGCCGTTCTTATGTAACCTGAAAAGCTTAGGAGAAGTCAGGCTCTCTCTCAGCCAATTGAGGAGAAGAAAACTTGCCAGTTGGGTCTACAGAATTAACTTCTAACACAGGAAGGGGGAAAAGGAGCTCATAGGTTTCCCACCCTAAAGACACGTACTTCTTTTAGCGGAGTACATCAGTGCAAACAAGATTCACAATTGCAGAAAACTGGACTGATTTATTCAGGAGGTTCTCAATCCCAAGAAAGGATTGAAAGGCATCAGCAGAATGGCAGGAGGAGAGACTAAGACCAGCTTAGCACGGAGTGCTATGGGTTGGGATGGAGGGGGCATTATCAGAGCTGTGTGAAGGCACTTCCACAGCCTCGGACCTAATCACTCCTGGCTCTACCAAACATGATCAGTTACTCATTTTAAATGTAATTTGAAACTAATAACCTAAAACATGCTTTATAAATGAAATTATTCAGAGAGAGTCGATCCTCCTCTTCTCCTAAGAACAAATTTTGCACAGCACAAAGCCCAGGCACCCCGAGGCGCCCACTCCCAGCCTCCAAAGGCAGCAGGAGCCACACATCAGAGGTAGCAGGATTCACATGCTATCAGCCTCCGTGGAAGCAGCAGTTTGTGTTCATTCATTTCCCAAGTGCTTTGTGGGGAAACCAAGCTTCTGGCTGCACCTGTTTAATAGTGAAGTCATTGATGAGGTGATGATTATGTTCATTCAGACTGCAGTGCAATGTGATGCAATCACTGTGCATTAGCAGGTCCTGCAGAGTTCCTATTCGCTGTAACCCCAGGGATCGCTCCACGCCATCTGGTAGATACGGATCATAGAAAATCACGTTGAAGCCAAAGGGCTTGGCTCTCAGGGCCACTGCCTGCCCAACTCGGCCTTCAAAGGAGAAAACATACCTATGTCAAGCAAAACGCAACACAAGCACAACACAAAGCTGCTAGGGGACTGGAATATGGATAAGAGTCATTCCTAGGACTCAAGGGTTCTATAGCCCTTCAGGGAAATGACAAAGCAGAGACTGGTCATTTATATGGTTCTATGTTGCTCCCATGATGAGAACTAGCCCTCACCCATGCTACGGCGGCCAACGGCACTCAGCCCATTGGAGAAACATAACCAGGTATGCATCTTGATCCACAGGCCCAACATACAGACTGGGGAACAGGTTACCTGACTACAAGTGCTTCAGGAACAATCTGATATCAGAACCACACAGAAAGCTCCCAACACCATGGCTAGCATACACAGTGACGGAACTACCACTGGAAGGGACCATCTGAAGCTTACAGTTTTTCTAATCACTGGAACATGAGAAAAGAAGAGTTCTTACTACCATGACTATTGCCCAGCTTCTGGGGGCAATAGCATTGCACTCTAGGGCACTGGTGGTATAAATTAGAAGTCTGATATTTATAGAAGTTAGCTAGAATGTTTCACTGGTTAGCCACTGAGATTATCTATTCCTGAGGCTGAGAGCGACACCAACATTCCCAAAAGCTTTCAGAGCTCCCTTTTCAGCCTAACAGTCACCTTTGCTTACCAAGGCCAATGATGCCCAAGGTCTCACCACGGATACGCACGGCACCTCCAGCCACCTCTCGAATTTGCTCCATGCTTGAAGCTCGGTTTCCTTCCCGCATAGCCTGATGAAGCCAAGTAACCCGGCGATACAGGTTCAAGATGTGACAGAGGGTAGAGTCAGCAGTCTCCTCCACAGAGGAGGAGGGGATGTTGCACACTGCAATGCCTAGAAAGAGGAAGTACAAATGAGATTCCCAGCACCGCCTATAGCACCTCTGCTGCAAACTCTACTCATACAACACGACGGCTAGAAGATAGCAATAGTCCTGGCGCTTGGGACTAAGGTAGCACACGGCACCAACCCGAGCATCCAAGTTTCAGAATCCAGCCTTGTATTGAGATGGAGAAGTTCCTCGCAGTCTTTTAACCTCTAGGAAAGTTTCCTAAGTTGCCTTGCTTCTAAAGGACCTTTAGACTGCACCACCACCACTGCCAGAAATGTGGCAAAATCAGAGAGCTGAGCTGTACAAATAGCACAGGAAGCAGCATCTAGAATGTCCATGCCCAAAGATGCAACCCAGAGCTGTTCCTGAGGAATTAACTAGCAGACTGTAGGAGCAGAGATGGCTGAACTCTTCCAGACCTCATGCACCAGATGCTCAAGGCCAGGCTGAAAGCATAGGCTTCCCCAGCAGCTGCAACCACAAGGTAACTAAGTCATTAAACACACAGTGGGAACCCACAGGAATCCTTCTCAAAATCCATTTCCGATTAAATTTGAAACAATGGTTACTAAAGTTACCACTACCAACTGTTCTGTACAGCAACACAGACAAACTCAAAATACCATAGGCAAGAACGATCAATTAAGTTCTAATGCTAAGGGAGTTAAGGTCCTGAAAGATTCTTTGCTGCCAGGAAGCAGGGAAATGTTAAAGGACTGTAGAGAACCCTAGATATATTCTGAGTAATCCATCACAAGGAGGGATTTGATTCAGTGGCCTTCTTGGAATGATAGTTGGCTAAACTGCTAGATACTGGCTTCTGTTAGGTCTCCCTGGCTTGAGAGGACTCTTAGAATCCCAAGGAAGGGCCAGCATCTCCAGAGAATTTTTCAGCAAACAAAATCCTTTAAGTAGCCAGGAAAAGAAAATTTTGCCCAATGGGATGAAATTGCTTCTTCCCCAAAACTTAACCCTAGAATCTAGGAATTTAGTTGGAAAAGGAAGCTTTTCTGGAGCCTTAGCCCACAGTATTTTGCCTTGACAAACATAAAAGGACCTAAAAAGTCACAACAGTAGCCCAACAGCTAACTAAGGACCAGGAAAGAAACCCAGGACGGAAGTGAAAGCACAGATGATTCAGCATTGTACACACCTGTTGATTGAGCCTGTAATATAGAATAGAGATCCAAAAAATTCATTTGGATCCCTACACACGCAATTGGAACAGCAATGGCTACACTCACTCAATCCCAAATATCTGACACTTTTACTCCATCCATTCCTTATGCAGTGCTCAGCCAGAATTTAGTTGCATATAAAGTCTATTGGAAAGGCAAGTAGTGATTATTAAACATTTGAACTGAACTTGTCCAATAAGAAGTCAGTTCTTTCCTTGTGGTTTTTGTATCTGTAGTAAAGACCTGACTGAATCTAAACAGGAGCAAGACCTATTCATCTGTAAGTGTAGTATCCAAAGATTATATTTAGCCTTCCTTGTGTCCAGAACTCAGGGATCTTCATGATCCCTATATCTGAATGACCTAAAAACCTTAACTCTCTTCTCAGGCCAGCTGCCCTTTAACCTTTGAGTTCAAACATTCTATCTGGTATCTAAAGAAGCCCCAGCCTAAAGGGCTCTCTCTGAAATTCTTTTATGTGGGTATTGACCAGCATGGGTATTGTCTCTCGCGGGAAAAGAAATATATGTTATAATCTCCTATAGATCCACTTTTAACCCCAAAACAGACATACTGTGGTCATCATACCTAATTCTGCAGCTGACTTGATGTCCACATTGTCATAGCCACTACCAATACGCACAATGACCCGGAGGGCTTTGAACTTCTCCAGGTCCTGGCGGGACAAGGTGATAGTGTGGTACATCAAAGCTCCCACAGCCTCATTCAGCACCTACAAACACAAACAGAAAGCATACTAGCCTGAGAACCATTCCCTACCCCTGCAGCTCCATAGTGGCACAGAGCTAGTCAGCTCCATCCCCATAAAGGCTCATTTAGTCTCCCTACCTTCTCATGGATTTCCTGAGTTGACTGAGCATCACAGAAAGCCACTGTAGCAACATCCTTCAGGATTGGCATTTCCACAGTGCAATCCCTCCCATCTAGGAGTGCAACCAGTGGTCGGGCAGGCATTGGGCCATTCACAATAGGAGGCCGAATACCTACAGACAAAGACAACAGTGATCAGCTGTGCAGGAGAGAGGAACAAGTGAATTCTGGAGCCCATAATTAACATCAGCAAGGGGGTATATTTAAGTCAGCACTGATCCAGTAGGGCACAAGAAGCTACACTTCCACAATATAAAAAAGATTAAGGAAGAAAATGGTCAGTGGCGATGTGAAAGGGTCAACAAACTCAGAAGAAATGTAGGAAAATGAAGCCAGAGTAGAAATATCCGTGCCTCTGGTGTGAAGAGGACACAGCAGAAAGTTTTGAGTGAGGGCCCAGAATGAGCAGCCTCACCAGAAACAAGGTTCAAAGCACTGTATTAATACAGTAACTCCTCGCTTAACGTTGTAGTTATGTTCCTGAAAAATGCGACTTTAAGCGAAACAATGTGAAGCGAATCCAATTTCCTCATAAGAATTAGTGTAAATAGGCGGGGTTAGGTTCCAGGGAAATTTTTTTCACCAGACAAAAGACTATATAAGTTTTAATTGTTTATGTTTTAAACAATTTAATACTGTACGCAGCAATGATGATTGTGAAGCTTGGTTGAGGTGGTGAAGTCAGAGGGTGGAATATTTCCCAGGGAGTGCCTTACCACTAAATGAGAAACTAGCGCTCGGCTGAGCCCTCAAGGGTTAACACTTTGTTGTTAATGTAGCCTCACACTCTACAAGGCAGCACAAATGGAGGGACGGGAGACAGTATGGCAGACAGAGATAGAGAGACACATCCTGTGTGTGTGTGTGTGAGAGAGAGAGAGATGCACATTGCCCCTTTAAGTACACTGACCTCACTCTAAGTACATTGCCTTTTTAAGTAGATCAGCAAGTTGAGACAGCAGCTGCTGCCAGCAAGCTCCCTCCATCCTGAGCCCTGTCGTATTGTCGTTCCCTCCCCCCCGCTCTATGTAGATGGGGTAAGTGGGGGGCAGGAGCAGGGGGGACACCCTGACATTGCCCCCCCCCCATGCACAGCAAGCAGGAGGCTCCCAGGAGCAGCTCCAAGGCAGAGGGCAGGAACAGCACACGGCAGTGGGAGGGACATCTGAACTGCTGGCAATTGCTAGCCTGCTGGGCGGCTGCCGCACAGGGAATTTAGGGGAGCGGGGAGCTGATAGGGGGCTGCCGGTCCACCCTGGTTCCAAGCCCCCACCAGCTAGCTCTAACAGGCTGCTCTTTCTGCAAGCAACAGACAAAGCAGGCGGCTGCCAAACAATGTTATAAAGGGAACATTACGCAACTTTAAACGAACATGTTCTCTAATTGATCAGCAACGTAACAACGAAACTACGTTAACCGGGACGACTTTAAGAGAGGAGTTACTGTAGTGCTGAATGAGAAAAAACATGCACACACAAGTGTAACAAGGGTCTCAATATTGTTACAGAATTCTCTTCCCAGAAATTGTCCTCAATTCATGTTATATAACAGAAAGGGACTCCTACCGATATTGTGGCCACCATATTCTGGATTAAGGAAATAAAAGATGAGGTCAACCAACATCAGGTTAACAGCAGAATCTGTTCTTCACAATTCCTTATGTCCCTAGCTGCTCACATTCTGCTTTCCCTCCTAGACCCTGGCTTGAAAGATACCCCCTTTTTAGAGGGCTCCTAATAGGAACTTCCTGCCTCATATTAGCAAAGACAGGAAGCATCTATTGAGAGCCAGAAGTGTGCAACCAGAGGGCTCTACGGAACGAAAAGAAAATGGATAAGCAGCTGGCAACTTTATTTCAACTTTTTTAAAGATATTTCAGTTCATTATCCAACGTTAGCCAACTCTCCCAGAGTTCAATCCTAGTGTTTGAATCACTGCTAGGGAGGATTGCTGTGCCAAGGGCGAAGGAGTGTTTCCTGCAGCAAGGAGGCAGGGCAATAATCACCCTAGAAAACTCTCTCTACCTCAGGATGTCTCTCCAAGGAGAACTATGCCTGATCCCTAGCTTGCACTCCTAATGCAACAGAGGATTTAAATATTGTTTCATAATAGTCACAGCCTCCACAGTCTCAGCTTAATCTCACTGTGAAAATTTCTACTGCATCTTCTGAAGCCTTTCAAAAATCTCCATTCACTGCAACAAAAACAGAAAAACAGGGCATCTTCTGGGAAATGAAAAGTGATGGGGTTTAAAGATGTCCCAAATTTATCTTAATCCTAATCCTCTGGCTCTCTAGGTTGTGGCCTGAACAGAAAAGAAGTGAGAGCAGAGCACCTAGTTTCACTAGAGAGTCATTCCAGTTGCCCTTGGCTGTAGGAACTGAGTTTCAGGTTTACTCATCTCACCCAAACACCCTTTTCCAGAAACAGAGCAGTCTCCTGAACCTCAAGGCTCTAGGGATAGAGGGTTACCTTCACAAATCCGGTCCAGCCTCTGACGCTTCACTTTGTGTCTGTCCATGAGACAAGCCAAGACTGACCTGAGCAGCCCTGAGGGGAGCCTCTGCACAGGATACTTGGCTCAGATTCCCTGAGCAATGCTGAAAAGAGACGGAGTACGAGATTACGGTTATCCCTGAACTCCGAGCCCACGCCACACACATCGGGGGCGGAACCCCCGCTCGCCCCTGCGAGGCAGCTGGATTCGGAGACGGAAAGAACCCTGGGCCCCTCCCCCACCCGATCCGGCCGAGCAAATCGCGCAGTGCCCGGGCGTCGCAACGGGCGGGGGACCCCCCCGGACGGGACGCGGCTCCAGCCCCCCTGCGGCCGGACTCCGCGCGCCAGCGGGGTCTGTGCTCAGGGAACCTGAGGGGCTTCACCAGACGGACGTGCAGCGGCGGCAGGCCCCAGCCCCCCCGCAGGCCGCCCCTCCCTGGCCCGGGCGGGGAACAGCGAGGCCTGCGGCGTCATAGCCGGCGGAGACTCGCTCCTCCCCACAGCCCACACTCACCGCCGGGCCCCGGGTCCCGACTCCCAGTAGGAAGCGGAAGGGCCGGGCCGAGTCCGCGGCGAGCGAGGCCCCAGTCTCCCGTCCCTGGGCAGCGCCCCGTCCGGCCCGGAGCGGAACCGACCGCGCAGCCATAGAGACGCAGTGCAGAGCGCCGCTCGCTTCCGGTTCCTCTCTGCGAAAACAACATCCGCTTCCCGCTCCGGCCGCGAGCGCCCCGCCCCCGCCGGCAGCGAGCCAGGGGAGCGGACAGAGCTGCGGGGCCGCGCGCGGCCGGCCGGGGCTCGGAGCCGCGCCCGTGTTTGATCCCAGCGCAGGGTCGGCGTGGAGCGGCCGCTGGGGGCGGGACTCTGTTCCCCCGCCCCGGGGTGCGGGTGCGCGGGGACGGGGCAGCGCCCCCCCCAGTTACACACTTTTCACTTTTTCCTTTAACAAATTCATGCTGGCCAGGGCCGCTGTCCCCTCCACTGCCCCAGCGGTGCTGATGCCTGAGCCGCGTTCTCCTCCGTGCGTGTGCACGTGCACGCGCCCGCCTGGGGGGGGGGTGCTCTGCAGTGTCCAGAGTGTATCTGCAACCCCTAGTTCTCTTCAATCAGATTCAGATCCAAGTCACTAAAGTCCTGCTGGAAAAAAGTCCTCTGGCTGGCCAGATGCCAGCTTCGGTTCCTTGCCTCATCTTCCTCTTCCTCACTCAGCACTTGGCCGTGGCTGCTGATAGGACTGCAGGGGGCTGAAGAGGCTTGTGGGTTGCGAGCCAAGAACCATGATGGAGCACTGCCTTCCTCAGGCTTGTCTAAGAAACAGAGGCCTCCTCCTGAGAACTGCTTCTGTCAAACAAACAAGGAAGATTAGGAACCTAGAACAGAGCCCTTCCTTCCAACAGTGCTGGCAAGGAGGATGAATGTGCTAGTGTTGAGATTTCCCTAGCATAGCACCAGGAATGGCTCCCTGCCTGCAGTACCAGCTCCAGCCCCTAATTTCTCTGCTTCCTGGACTGATCTGGAACAGGAGCAGTCTGCAAGGTGTGCAGTTACATGGCCCTGACAATCTTCCCTCTTCCCAGTCTGCAGTGATAGCACAGATACAGATTTATATAAAGCCTGCAGCCCCTCTCTTCATCCTCACCTGTTGGGAGCAACTTCTATACACAGAAGAGGACCAGCCATTTACACAGGACAGAGAATTTCATCTGCAGTTACCTGTATAGGTTGAACATTAACAAGGATACAAACCCGTCTGACTAGACCATGACACTTGTTTACCTTTCATGGTATATTCAGCAGCCTAAAACTGTTTTTCTTTTGACTTTTTTCTAACATTAAGTGTCAATCCTACCTTTTTACTTAGGGGAATTTTGGCATGTTTTTTCTTAGGGCCTAGCAGATTCTCCATCATTGCAGTCTTTACGTCAAGACTGGATATCTTTCCAAGATGCTATAGCTCAAACAGAAATTCTGGGCTTAATGCATTTATTGGGTGAAGTTTTTTGGTCTGTATTGTTCAGGAGATCTGACTGAATGATGGTAATAGTTCCTTCCTGCCTTAAAAATCTACACAAAAACAAACAACCCCCTCTCCAAAAAACCCTGGCTCCCCCTTCTTCTTGCCCTACTCCTTCCATCCTACCTGGTTCATCTTGTAGAAGTTGAGTGAGGGACGGTGCCACTTTGCATCCTCATCATGGCACCGCTTGAGGCCATTCTTCTTTGTGTCCAGGTCACAGGGCTGTGACTGGCTGTGTGGGAGGCCATGCTGGTGCCTGAGCAGTTCTGGTGTGGAGGAAGCAGAGCTCCGTGGGGAGGGCAGGAACTGGACAGGTGATAAGGAGAAGCGACGTTGCAAGGGGAAGGGCTGCAAGGTCTTCTCACTCTCCCACAACATGCTGACTAGGGATTCCCGGGATAGGGCCAGACTGAAAAAAGGGGGGCTACTGCCACCACCACCTTGGACACACTGAAGAGATGCACCTGGGGCTTGGTCAAACCTGAGACTGCAGGCTCCATGGTCTGGGATCGGGGGCTGCTCTTCCAAAGCACCTTCTCCACTGCTGCCCCGATGCTTGATAGGAGTCCACACTTTGGAGCCAAGAGGCCTACAGAGGGGATGCCAGTGAAAGAAATTCTCAGGCACTGAGGGTGAGCAGCAGTGCCTTTTGGTGGGGACCATAGAGGCCTTCCCCAAGGTTAGCAGGTCCGTGGCCAGTGTTTGGGATGGAAGGCTGTTCTTCTTAGGGCAGCTGTCTTGGCTGCAAGGAGACAGACTCAGGCGGGAGTGGTGGCAACTGAAACCTGTGCTGTCCTGAAGGTGTATCCTGGGACAGGAGATCAGGTCCCACCAGGAAGCCCTCTCTGCAAGAGACACCACAAAAGAGGGAGAGAATTAACAGCATGGCCTCTGCCTCACCAGCTGTCCCACAGTCCTGGATGAGGGACCAGTGCCACCACACCCTATCCAGTAACTTCTGATGCCCTCCAAATAACCTTTAATTGGGGAGTGGGCACTGCATGCACCTGGTAGAGAAGGGCTTGCCCCAACAAAGTCCATTTCTGACCACTGGGCTTTATAGTTTGATTCCCTTTATTCTGTGTCTATGGTAGTTCCCAGTTCCACACAAAGATGAGCACAGGCAGTCCTGACTGACTCACCATCTGGCCCCCACTGCTGTCATTACTTGATACCCATGAGAAGTTCTAGCTCTTTTAATCTTTATTTCCAAACACAGATCCCAATTTGTCTTCCATAAACTGGGAACCCCTTGAGCACAGCTTCCCTCTGATCAGGCTGGCAAGGTGACAACACGTGGGGGCAGGTGGGACAGCAAAGAATATTCTGTTAAAGGAGTGATGTACACTGGAGGAGCAAAGCAGGTGGGAACAAAGGGACTGGTAAGCCTCCCCTGCTCCCTAATGTTGATATGCTGAAACCATGGAGAGACAAGCCTGTGCCAGACACTCTGCTCTGGCAGAAGGTGTGGACTGGGGAAAAAGCAAACAGACATCCTGCCTGGAAGTTTGGAATTGGAGGGAAAGTTGTGGCCACCTCCTCCACAATTGACATCTCTAAGTTTGAGGAACTCAGCAATGAAAATGGTGTGCTGAGCAACTGTGAGCAAGAACAAATCCTAGAAGATCAAAATAAACCAAAGTATAGCAGGTTCCACAGTTACTGACCAGTCCCTACAAACATCCCCAATTCACAAAGCCTTGATGGGGCAACACTACTTCGATCTAGAGCAAGATTTCTATCTGAGCATTGTTCTTTACCCACCAGCCTGCTTAACTGCTGAAAATCTTCACTGAATGCAAACGATACCAAACCCTATATAAGTAGGATTGCCAACTTTGGTTGGATGAATTCCTGGAGATTTCATCACATGACAATCTTTAACTAAAGATTAATCTTTAATTCCAGGAGACTCCAGGACAATCCTAGAGGGGTTGGCAACCCTACGTACAAGTGAGTGTAGCTAACCTAGCTGAACAACATTCAGCCCTTAGACAGATATGGATGAGGAAAGACGAGAGTTCACTGTGGGGGCTGCCTGTCTATGAACTACAGGAGCCTTCCTGAAGGGCTGGCACACAGCAATCTGCAGCTGCATATGCAGTAGGGAGACATTTAATACCAGAAATAATTGAGAATAAGTCTGATGCCATGAAAAGGCCAGAACAAAAACATGCTGAGGCAAAGAGAGTAGACCAGGACAGACAGCTTCTGAAACAGAGAATAGAGCTTTCAGACAAGAGAGACAGGGAGGAGAATCTCAGAGCCCTGGGCCCCAGAAGATACTCACGCACACTTTGGACATACAGACGTCCAGTGAGAACCACTCCATACAGTAAAGCACTATCAGGGCTGGAACTGTAGACAGGAGTAATATCTGATCACTAGGCTATGCAGGCCCTACTTGTGTGACCAAGCCAATGTTATAACGGACATCAACAGTATCGCCTCGCTGGAATGGATCATTTTCCCCTCTCCCATGATCAGTGATGTTACAAGCACCTAGAGGAGAACTGCTGCCAGGCAAGAAACTATTTAAAATGAGGGACTGGAGGCTGTTCCATTGAGAAAGTGAAAGACTTAGTCCCAGGGAAATACTCCTCCCTCTGAGGAGGTTCCCTCGTGATTGGGAAAACGCTCTTTACTCCCCTGGAGAAAAGTTCTGAAAGCTGCTCAGGAGTCGGGATACTTTTTACTAGTTTGATACACACATATCACCGTTGAAGGTTTTATCTTGCTAGTTCATCAATCTAATCCTGTTCTAACATTCTCTCCAAGCCCAGCAATTAGCCAACTAATAGCAGCCACTAATACTGATTTTTAAAATGTTGGTTGGGCATTTTGTCCCTTCCCCTCCCTGCACTGGTTACTAGTCTTACCCTGTGTTCTCCTTCAGCAGGGACTGCATCTTGCTGTGTGTGTGGTTGGCACATAGCAGTGTGGGCGCTTCCATGCCATAACAATAAAACTACATCTGATACTACAGGGATGGGATCCAGTGCAAAATCCTAAAACTGATATGGCCAGAAAAGGGCAACAATAAAGGGATTCAATTTACTATTTAAACAAATTTCCTCTCTTCTGTTACTAAAATAACCAGAGATGATTACAAAATGTTTTTAAAATATAGCTCATACATCACTCTTTGGGGACAATGAAAAGTCAGTTTCACTCTCAGATACTTGATGCTGCAATGTTTGGTTTAGTTTTGCTGAAAATAATTGTTCCCACTGGCACTATAAAAGTAAGATAATGGAAACACTCCTATTGGCCTGATCTCTGCTAAGAGCTTGCTTTTGCTGGGAGGTTCAAGTAGAAAATTCTAAAACCAAAATGAAATCAGAGGAGAGAAGTGTGATGTGGGCACAAAAGGTAAAAGTCCATCCAAACACTTACCAGACGCAAGCTGGAGGGGGCTGCCAAAGTGAGCCACGTCTGTGTGGTCAGGCAAAGGCTATGGAGGGAAACACATGGACTCACCACATCACAGGAAGGACCAAGACTCCCCTCTCAACATCGTTAGCACTACTAAAAGTAATTTTCGCTCTCTCGATATTCCCCCCTTCTTGTCAACTGTTGAGAATAGGCCACTTCCACCTTGATTGAATTGGCCCAGTTAGAACTGACCTCCCACTTGGTAAGGCAACTCCCATCTTTTCATGTGCTGTAATATATACACCTGCCTACTGTATTTTTCA